ATACTTTTAAAACTTTACCCTCCATCACATTCAACCCCATTCAAGCCGTGAGCTACTCCTATAGTATCCTTTGGTTCAAGTGAACCATGTTCCTTAATTTTTGACCCCATATCATCACTGTTATCATCCAAATTCTTATTGGAAATCTCTTCGGACGAAGCCGTCAGAATAGTTCTTTTCCAATGCTCTCTCTCTTCTAAGCTTGGACGTCGATTTAGCCAGGCGGACGTTGTTGTTGACTTTTTGCCATCTACTCCATTGTTATGCAATGCCCATTGATGCGAGGCTCTAGGCGATAAGTTAAGCACACCAAGAGTTTCAACCCCTGATTGATCAAAGTAATTGAATGCCATTAATTTGGGCGAAGCGTCTTCAACTTCCTCCGTTTTATCATCAGTGCTTCCTTCATCATCTGAGGACGTTGCGGAGGAGGACGAATAATCCCACAAATTCAAAGGAACATTACGAGCGCCTGCAGACCTCGTGCGTCTTCGATAGAAACTATTAACGGAAGAATTATTGTGGTCTGAAGGCTCCGGCACGAGAGCAGCGGTGTTCACATTATGATTTTGATTATCATTTGTAACGTCAGAGAGGGAAAAGAGTACTTTATTTCCACCAAAAGAATTACTAGCATTCGTTCCATTAATCGGCTGGGGACTTACTTCTTTCACTTGCATCGAATACAAAGACGGCGATGATGAAATAGCTCGTAAAGACTCTCGAGTTCTGACCGTAGAGAACGTACCATATTTCACAGCGTTTTTGGTGTTTGTAGTCGTCTGGGCCGTATTACTATATATTTCATCTTCTTTCACATTAGTAGAAGAATATGACGACGAGAAGGAAGAAGGTAAAGAATGATCAGATGATTGCACTGCTTTCTCTTCGAATGTTAATAAGTCCTTTATGCTTCTCGAGAATTCTTCTGAAGTATTTGTTGTTTGATATATGTCTGTTGCTTGCTTTTCCTTGACCAGAGTTTCTTGTTCCTCCTCCAGTAACTCCTGCTCTTCCAACTGACACTGACTCCCAAACACAATATCTAAATGTTCGACGAAAGCTTTCAATAATATTGACCCTATGTTTAACGATGGGCAAAAGATTAGCCCAAGGTTAGAGATATTCATCTTATTGATTTCACTATTATTATTGACACGAGCCAAATGTGAAGAAAGGGCACGGAGGAGGTAAAAATGGTATGGTGGCAGTTTAGCAACGATAGACGCTAGAGCATGAGGTAATCCGTCAGGCACCATTACAGGTGAAGTAAAAAGTAATGTCGATGATGGAGCTATAATGTCTGACGACGCGTACGCCGAATTTGCATAATGCTGTACACAGGCGTTAAACTCTCCCGCGAGAGCTGTGGTTAGTATTGG